CGCTCCCGCCCCGGGGCCAGGGCTGGCGAAATCGCCAGCTTGAAAGCCTCACAAAAGACTTCCAGAAGGTGACGATTTCGCCCCTGCTGGCCCCGTGGGGGTGGAGAGGGGTGGGCAAGCATTGCAAGGGTCCTGGAAGGCTCACTCGGACCCTTGCAACGCTCCCCCCATGGGGCCAGTGGGGGAGAAATCGTGGCCCTCGCTCCATAAGACGCACAGACTCCCCCCCTCACTTTTTTTGGGGGGGGAAGTCCGTCTTATGGAGCAAAAAATACGGTAACTGGAGTGGAGGTGCTCAGGAAGAGACTATTCAGCCCTTTCTTTTATGTGAATCTCCTAATTTATTGCCTTCCAAAATTGCTGCTAGGTTTGCAGGGATAGGAGAAATGAAGAGACAACACAGTGTAGTTTAGTTCCTAGCCTGCATCTATATGCAGAACGTCAGTGGGACATATGAAAAAAGAAGGAAAGAATGGGCACTGTTTTTTAAGGAAATTAGAGAAATTATTGGATATGAGATTCAGAGATCACCAATTATTGCCCTCATAAATATAATTAATAATTACCATCAAAAAAAGATCAGAAAGAGTTAGTTGTTATAATGGTTACAGTAGCAAGACTAATATTTGCAAAGAATTGGAAAAGTGACAAACAAATTAATCTTGAAGGTTTGTATAAAGAAATGAAGAGCTTAGCAATTAATGATAAGTTAACATGTGAAATGAAAAGAAGAATAAAAATAATAATAAAGTCTAATGATTTCAGAGATATATGGAATTTGTACTTGGAGCATGTCTTGTCGAAGGGGAAAGGCTATATGCCGGCAAAAGAATCAATGTATTTTTGGAGAAGTATGGGGTGAAAAGGGACATAAATTGATATTACTGGTCACCTAGTCCCAAGGGTGAAGGTGGCATGGGTGGGGAAAGTCCAATATGCATTGCATGCATTTATTATTGAATTTCTATTTTAGTTTTAATACTAAATTAAAAATAAATACAAAATTAAATATAAAAAAAAAAAGAACAAGGTCAAAGTGGCCTAGGAGCCAAGGGGATTGGATAATGATATAGGATACTTAATCTTTGCTATGAGATAATTTGTGCCTTGCACAGATTTGTTGTGGTTCAGTGGGACAGTGCAGTAAGCTGTGACCACCATGCATTTTGTGGAATGGACTGCAAGCTGGCTCATTGTAATGGGTACTGCATTGGGTGTTAATTCTCTGTTGTCATGTTTTATTATCTCCATATTTCCTATATAGATAATTTTCTGATTTATTACCAAGTTCCCATCCATTAGTGATTTACGAGGTACTCAGCCATTTTGGAGACAAGGATCATAAAAATAACCTGGCACTAGAGAAGAGAGAGCAATGTGGATATTGTGCTGAAATATCTTAAAGGTTAATCATTTCTGTAAAATCCATAAATGAACATTTGGGTTAATTGTCCCCCAGCCACTGCTCATTCTGTTGAAACCATTGGATGCAATGCAAACATTCTACTTGCTGGCAAAATCAAAACAGTAGCTGAGTTATCTTATGTATTTTGCTGTCTAGGCATATGCGCCTTGTGTGGGAACAGCATCCTCCTATACATTTCCTATAAGAAAAGGAACCTATTGAAACCAGCAGATTACTTCATGATCAACCTGGCTATCAGTGACCTTGGTATGACTTTCACCTTGTACCCTCTAGCTGTTACATCCAGCCTTTCACACAGGTTTGTTCAATCCACCACACACCTGGAACTCTCTGCTAATGGGAGGCACTAACAACTGAACTGTTTTTTTTTCCATATTTATTTTAAAGACAGTGATGAATAACTTGTGGGATTATGAAAAGTATGTTATGTGTTAATAGTGTAGATGTATAATTTCGTATGGGTTTTTAAAAAACTCCAAGAATTCTCTAGGTAGAGTTCTGGGGAGTTCCAGCCCATAGACTGGGGGTCTCAAACTCAATTTACCTGGGGGCCGCTGGAGACAGAGTCTGGGTGAGGCTGGGCCGCATCAGATTTTCCGCCAAGCGGAGCAAGAGCCCGAGGAAGCCGCCCAGGAGATTCCTTAGCCTGGCTAAGGAGGAGGAGGAGGGTGCGAGCCCTCGTCGCCAGCCTCGTCGCCGGCCACGACCTCCTCTGGTTCCTTCTTCGCCACCATCACCAGCAGAAGGATGAAGAAGCAGAGAAGGGAGGGAGCTCCGGCCACCGCCTAGCCCGAGGGAGGAGGGCACGACATAAAATTTAAAAAAATTACCCTCACAGAATTCGCCTTGGAAAAGCCCCCACCGGTACCAGCGAAATTAAACAGGACACCCCCCACAGGTGCACGCACACATGCACACAAACACACACACATGGAGGTCCGGCAACCTTCCTCTGAGGGCCCCCCTCAAAAAAGGCACACTCAGCAGCAGCATCTACCACCACGACGACAGAGGACCAAACTTTGTGAAGCGAGCCCAGGCAGCCTCCAGAGCCAAGGCAGCTGAAGCAGGATGAAGAGGAGGAGGAGGAAACACTGCCAGGCACTGAGGCAGCCGGGTTGGTGCTGGGGGGGCCGAGAGAGAAAGAGAGCCAGAGAGCCGCTTCCCTGGGAGAGGCAGAGGCAGCGGCAGCTGCTCTTGGCAGCTTGGAGGTGCTCTTCGAGGACGGGCCGGGAGCAAGCTCTGCTCTCAGGCATCACTCGACGGCGGCTCGGGCGTTCCGGGAAAAGGGCCGGCAGCACGCCTCGCTCGCCTGCTCTCCCCCAAGACACCGCCTCTTGCACCCGCCATCTGGAACTGCAGCCTGCCAGCCGGCAGACAGGCAGGCTGGCTGCAGTTCCGGATGGAGGGTGCAAGAGGCACTGTCTTGGGGGAGAGCCGGTGATCGAGGCGAGGCTTTTTTTTACTCTTGACAGCAGAGGATGCGTGGGTGCTTCGGGGGTGGGCAGGCAAGGCAGGGGCCAGAAACTCTTGTCCGGTGGGCCACAAATGGCCCCCAGGCCACATATTTGAGACCCCTGCCATACACCCATTCAGGGGCCAGAAACTCTTGTCCGGTGGGCCACAAATGGCCCCCAGGCCACATGTTTGAGACCCCTGCCATACACCCATATCTATGGATTCTTGCCTTTCACTCAACTGGGCCAGGGCCTATCTGTCAGGCTGTGCAGCTATATTGTGCCTTGCTTCCTGTTCTTAACATTTAAAAAAAGGAAGTGACTGTGGTACTTCCTTGATATCATAGTTCTTTGGGAGGTACACTTTATAGAGGCTAAAAGGTAATGAGACTTTGACTCTCAAGAAGCCCCATGGCAGGTTCCTTTTTTGTACGTTAACAACAGGCAGTACCTGAGACAGCCATACAGCCTTGGAGATAGGCCCTGGACCGGGTGAGCAAAATGTGGACGTCTGTGAGAGAGGGTCTGTGGGCTGGAACTCACAGAACTCTGTCTGGAAATTCTTGGAGAACTCTGAGACTTGGAGTAAAAAAACAAACTGCACATCCTTAAACAGCTGGTGCCAATTAGCATTCAACAAAAAAAACAAACTGCACATCCTTAAACAGCATCCCTAAACAGCTGGTGCTAATTAGCATTCAACGTGCACAACACTGTGGCCATTAAAATGTCTTACTGGGAATGACATCCAGTTGGCACTGAAGTGAAATATTAATATTAATTTACAGAGTGCCACTTACACCATTCCTGACCATTGCTCTTGCTAGTGGGGTATGTGAGAGTGTTGGGAACTATAGCTCAGCACATCTGAAGGGGACCAGGATAAGAGCCATGCTAGATTGGACCAATTGTCAATATACTCCAGCAGTTTGGTTTACACAGTGGTCAGTCAGCTATCTGTGGGAAGCCTAGAGGCAAGAGACATGTGCAATAGCACCCTCTGTCTGGCATTCCCCAGCTGCCGATATACTATGTGTATGCACATTCTCTTTGATATTAGATATGATAAGACAGCTATCCTGACTGGCAGCAACTTGTTGGAGGAAGTTACACAAGTAGAGCAACTTGTCATGCTTTGGCTTCCAAGATTGCTCAAATGATGTTCCTACAAATAAAGGGTGAATTCCAAGGCATACAAATGCAAGTACACTTGTGGAAATGGCTTTCCCCTCCTCTTTTCTGCAGACCCATCATAATCCTCTGTATGTTTGCTCTGGAGAATCTTACAGTAATTTGCAGCAGACTTCAAGGTTTTGTATTGAACATCAAGGGGATGGAGGAAATACAATCTTCCGATTTCTTTTTCTGATGGAAACTGTTCTCTAAATGGAAAAACTTAACAGAGTATCATGCTTGACGTGTACACATCAGCTTCTTCCAATTCAGATTCTCACACTCTGTCACTAAAAAATTAGATTTCTTTTTGCAGTTTTCCACAACCAGCGTAGTTTATTTACTGATTATATTTTGGCTAAGCCAAGGTGTGTACGCATGGTTTTCATAAATTGTTTTATCAGTCTCGTGTTGTTCTGTAAATTTTTAGGAATTGCTGAAGGTGTAATAGAAGTGTTTTATTGCTCAGGGACCATTCCTTTGAATGAGCTTGTCTGACAGGTGAAGGTCATCTATGCTTGCAGTACAGGAATGACTGCTGTCATTCCAAACAGTTTTTTTCTGTCTCAGTGATGTACAAAGGGTATCATTACTACTGCTTCAACTACTGAACAGTATTAGTACTAACAAACACAGAAAATTAGCATTATTTAAAGCAATCCTAAGAGCCCTAGTTAGTAAACAACAGAAGGGACAGTTTGTGAGAACTACAGTTAAGCATGAGAGGTAAAATGAAACAGAAAAACTCAAGAGCTCACCACCCTGGTCCATGCACTCATAGTCTCAAGATTAGACTACTGCAATTCACTCTACATGGGGCTGCCTTTGAGACTGATGCGGAAGCTACAAATGGTCCACGACACGGCCGCCAGATTATTAACTGGGTGAAAGGACACTGGTTACGTATTTGGCCTTACACTGGTTACCTATTTGTTTCCACATTGATTTCAAGGTACTAATGCTAACATATAAAGCCCTAAATGGTTTAGGGCCTCAATACCTGGCAGAGTGCCTATCCCCACCTAGTTCTACTCATGTCACTCCATCAAGCCAGACTGGAAGGTTGAGGGGCTTTACTCCAAGAGAGGGCCAGAAGGAGAGAACAAGAAACTGGGCCTTCTTGGTGGTGGCCCCTCATCTTTGGAACATCTTGCCCCTGGAGATCCGACTGGCACCCTAGCTGGGAATTTTTAAAAGCAAGTTGAAGACTTGGTTTTTCCGGCAGGTCTTCCCCCCTCCCATTACACAGCTTCTTTATCCCATCTTGGATCTTGTTTTCTTTATTGATCTTTCTGCTCTTATAATCAAAGTTATTTTAATGCTGTTTTTATCCTTATATTCTGTAAGCTGCCCAGAGTAGATTCCCGAATCTAGATGGGCGGGGTAAAAATATAACAAATAAATAATAAGAATAAATAAATAAAATAAACTTTTAAAAATTGTCAGGCTTTTGCATATTACCTAAAACTGTGCAGTGTTTACAATTTGCAAATATCTATTGTTAGAACACAGTATAACATGGACTAGAAAACTAAATTTGAGTGGCTACATAGTGCCAGAATATGATCACAGTCACCATGTTATACTTTACTGATAGGGCTTATTCTTTGAAAGGGAAACATTCCTGATAAAGAGGGGAAAGCGGTATCAACACAGCAACAGAATGAAGAGTGGAATATCTCCCAGGTCAGAAAACCTAGGCAACATGTATCATAACTTTTTTTTTAAAGAATGTTAGGCAGAAGAGTGCTAATGGATTGAAATTGTTCAATACTGCTAATGGCATTCTAAACATTAGTAAGAAAAATATATACACTGAAAGCAGTACAAACAGTTACTTGTGAGGGTGTTGAGGTGCTGGAATCAAATGCTTGTTTTAAAACAAACATCAAAAGTCTCAATGTTTACTTGTTTCTAATGGAAAATCTACATGCCATTCTACATAAATATGGGAAAATACAAGAGATAATTCAGAGTGCTTTCCATAGGACAGCATGTGTAAAATATGGCATACACACTGCATGTAGCCTACTAAAATCAGTTTGTAAACTTTTCCTCTTCCTTGAAGGCAGGCTGTATGGGAGAAGGGAACAGCAGGGCCATTTGGTGCAGGCCTCACCTCCTGAGGTGATTTTTAAGAAGCTCAAACTGCTCTGAAGTCCACACCTTTTAACCTAGTCAATAAAAGTCCTCAGTACAAGGGCACTGTTTTCTTTCTTTTGTTGTAGTCTGCATGTATTCAGGGGCAACCATTTCACATATTTTAGAAATGAATCACAGAATTGCTTGAGGAACTAAAAATCATCCTGATAACTGAAATTGATTTTGATGGGGAATTTACCACCATATCCTCCTACCATAAAATCAGTAATTTAATAGTGCACTATTTAATGCAACTGCCAAAGCAATATGACAAAAATGCAATGCAAATCAATTTAATTTAAGTTAATTTAAACATTAAATTAAGTGCATTTTTCCTCATTTGTGGCATTTTTAATTGTAATCACCAATGCCATGAAATCTAACATGCTGCTTCTATCTTTTGTGAAGGACACTCCATTCATTGTAAATAAGCTGACTGGTAGCTAATCTAACTTTAGTACTGGCAACAAAGCAGTGTTCTTCTCCATACCTGAGGCCAGCTTAGAAAGCAAATACGAATCTTGTGGCACAAGGCTCTATTCGCTAATAACCTCACTGAAGCTCTTGTCTCTTCCTGCAATTGCTGCTAAAGACAGCTACCACAGGGCCTAACACAATGCCAGCCTAGATATGTGCCAGGGAATCCATTCTCGCTATTTAAAACCATTAATGAAATGGTATGTCATTTCTTTAATGGCCATGCTCTTCTCAGTACTGTATGTTCTTGTTACATTAAGAATTTGACATGGATATTGGCCAGAATCTTTCAGATACATTCATTTAGGTCTGCTGTGTTTGCATTTATCTTTTAATTTTGAAGCAACAGGCTTTCTCTTCTGACTTTTGTAGCCAAATATTATCTTTCTGTTTTATCAGTCAAACAAAAGAAATATTAAGGTATCTTTTGGATAAAATATTGATTCTGGGCAGTAATCAGTACTGCCCTTTCAGCAGGCTGTTTTTCATTATATATTTATTTGGATAATAGCCATTTCTTTGTTTTCTCCCCAGGTGGCTGTATGGTCAACATGTTTGCTTGTTCTATGCTTTTTGTGCAGTGTTGTTTGGAATCTGCAGTCTGACAACACTAACATTACTGAGTACTGTGTGCTGCCTAAAAATTTGTTTCCCAGCTTATGGTAAGTATGTTTCATTCCCTTCTCCTCCACCTAATGGTTCTTAAACAGAGTGCACAATTTCAAAACATATCCCAAAGTGCATTGTTGTATAAATGTCTGTACTTTCTGGTCACTTGACTTAGAATGGAACAGGAACAAATGGATTTGGTTCCTTACACTTCAAGGTCTCTTTAAATACTCAAGCATTCACAAAAAGAAAGTGAAACCAAATTTGGCTGTGTTGCTACAGCTTTAGGGTTCACTGTTCTGTTTGGTTCAAATCAAAGTGAGATGGATAGACTTTGTAAATTGTTTCCACGGGCTTGTTATGAAGTCTGCCCCAGAGGTAGTGTTTTGATTTCTATATTTAAAACCAATTGCATTATAACAAGCAGCAGATCAGTAATGTTTTAAATGTGGATTATTTATTTATTTATTTATTTCAGGGAATAGATTCAGGCGCGAACATGCTTGGATGTTGATAGCCTGCACTTGGGCCTACGCAGCCTTTTTTGCCCTTTCTCCACTAGCTCACTGGGGAGAATATGGAGCCGAACCATATGGTACAGCATGCTGCATTGACTGGCACACTTCAAATATAAACAAGACAGCTATGTCTTACACCATTGTCCTTTTTGTCTTCTGTTTTATTATCCCCTGTGGAATAATTGCTACCTCTTACACTCTTATTCTGATCACCGTGAAGGAATCCAGAAAAGCAGTGGAACAACATGTCTTGGGATCTACCAGGATAAGCAGTGTACAAACTATTACAGCTAAGGTATTCAAAATTTGTGTTCTTTTTTGTAAGCTGTGGCCTTTAGAGGTGAATGAGTGCCCATCCACAGGTTTATAGTAACATTGTTTGTTTGTCTATAAAACAAGATGGCCCCTGTGTTTCCTAACACATAGCATACAGATCACTGCCTGGCAAATTAGGGGAAAAAATCAGGGCGGAGGTAACATTAAATAATGTTACCTCTGCCCTGATTTCCCCCCTAATGATTTAATAGTGATTGCTGTCAATAAATAGCACAATCTTATAAACATTTTAAAGAAACATACGTATTTTGTCAGAAGCCCTTAATCATCTGCCATACTCCAATGCAGCAATAAGGAACCTCTGGTGCATAGATGCTCAATATCTAGCTCACAAGCTTTTTGTCTATTATTTTCAGTCACTTATTAGACATAAGAGGGTACAATGGTGCCTCGACTTACAAACTTCATTGGTTCTGGAGCTCCGGTCATAACTAAATGGTTGTTAAGTCGAAGCACCATTTCCCATAGGAATGCATTGAAATGCAATTAATCTATTTTGACGGAAGAAAAAAGTCACCAAAACAACAACAACAACACTGCAAGACCCATCAGAAATGCGATTAATCCATTCCGGCCGAAGAGGGAAAAAGCAAAGCAAACAAACTGTGCAAGACCCTTCGGAAATGCAAAAAAAGCAAAGCAAAAAGCAAGCAAACCCCACAAAACCCTTAGGAAATGGGGAAAAAAACCCAAAGCAAACAAACCCCGCAAGACTCATTGGAAATGGGGGGAGAAACAAAAAGCAAACAAACCCCACAAGACCCATCGGAAGGGGGGGGAAATCAAAAACAAACAAACCGTGCAAGACCCATTACAGCATAGAAACATAATCCCACCAACCAGCCCAAAACCATGCTGCAAAACCCACCCAGAGCAGTTTTTACAAAGCAGAAAGCAGCACCTTACTTTACCAGGCAGCCTGAAGCCTCCTCCGATCGCACACTCTCTAACCGCTGGGGCAAAAGAGCTACAAAGAAGTAACCTCTTCACCACCAACGGTTAGCAATTTGAATTCCCCGCCTTTTTCCCCTGCCTTTTTGTGGTTGTAACTGGAAGCTCCGTCCACAAGTTGAAGCAAAATTTCGTGGCCAGAGCTGGTTGTAACTCGAAATGATCGTTATGTCGGGACGTTCGTAAGTCGAGGCACCACTGTATTTGAATGCCTTACATGGACCTGAATTATGGTTTTCAGGCCTGCAAGCTATTATTGTAGGACTTACTTCAGAGTTGACAGATGGCCTGCCTATGAATCCTTGACCCCACCTGTTGCTGCCATTACAAGCTCCCCCAGTCCTTTCCAAAGTTGAATTTGAGCTCAAGGCTAATAAAGATTACTTACTCTTGGTTTAATAGATCATGTAGATTCTTGTGCTAATACACAATCTATGTTCATGCTGTCATATTTGCACACTAACAACTGAATTATATATTCCCCACTGACACTCATGGGAGTACTCTCCTGTAAGCATCATAGCATCACCTTCTAAGAATCCAGAATAACAGTCATCATTATATTATTAAATTCTGAACCATTTCTCATCTTCTCTAAGCATTTCTTCTGTCATGAAGTTAGAGAGACATCACCCTCACCGTCACACTCTTTGCAGTACATTGAAAGAAGACTATTGCCAGGGAGGATGATTGGCCTGCTAGCAACCTGAGAGTTGTTTCCACTGCAGTTTGGGTCATGGGAATAATATGGAGGAACATTCCTATGACATAGAATTGAAATGCGGGGAGAACAATCCAATCTGTTTACATATTTTACCAAAGTGGAGACATCCATAAGTTAATATTTCTATATCGTCTCTGTGTATCATATGTATGGGAACCGTGGGTCAGAACCTTCTGTACACATGGAATTTTGACAGCAATCCTGCACCACCTCCATGTGTGTGCACGAGGACAGTCCATCAGTTCTTAATACCTCAGAGAGAGTTAAGACTAATAAAAGAGGTAGCCATTTTAGTCTCTGTTAGCTTGTCAGGCAAAACAAACAAAAATAAAAAAGACAACAATGTTGTAGCAGTTTTAAGACTAACTTCTATATCTTAATGTGAGCTTTTGTGAACTTCTTCAGACCAAGAGGACTGGAAAAGTGGTCTTGTCCATGAAAGCTGACATTTAAAATATAGCCATTACTCTTTTAGGGTGCCATATATTTTTTGGTTTTCTTAAAAAATTTTAATTGTTGTTTTCTTCATGCCTGGCAGACTAATACAAGTTATTTCCCCCCCTAGTGGTTGGTTTAATGCTTGTTTTATTTTCTTTTATTCCATTTTTAGTGTTTTCATCTTTTTGTCAATTTGTCCTTGTTTTTGTTTCTCTTTAGAGTCTTTGGCCCCAGGGGCTTTCTTTTAAGCTCTTTGGTCCCAGGGACTGCTCTGTCTGTAAAGACAAACAGATGGACATAGGAAGTGCTTTTTTTTGCCTCCAACAAGAACAAAGCACACCCATTTGCAGATCTTGTCAGTCTTTCCTGAATCAGTCAACCGAAAATTGGAATACACGTTTTTTGTTTTCTTGTGAAAAATGCCATCTCCATTGCTGACATTCCTTCACAAATCCCTAATCTGTAAAATGGCTGTAATCCTCAAAGAGTTTTCTGATGCAGATGCTGTTAAAAGCCACTGACTCCTCCGCTGCCTCCACATTTAGTTTGATCTATTTGGTATTGACTTTGGCACCAATTCATTGTGTTAACATTGTCAAACCAGGGCAGAAGAGATTGTCATCGTCAGGCCTTCCTAAAAGAAAAGAAGAAAACAAATCATCCCAAAGCTGCCACCACTGATGTTACTGAGGTTGAAGTAATCTGTGAGGATTTGCTGTCAGAGAGTCTGGAAATTGATTCTTCCTCTCCCCTCTAAGCTCCACAATAACCTCCTTGTGACACAGAAATGCCTGGGTCTATGTCCAATGGTGGGATTAGATAATAATCTAATGAAGCTGAACCTCTGCAGTAAAACCATACATTCTGTATGGATGCAGCCTCCGTTGGAACTTGCCCTCTTACGGAGCTTTGTAAGTCTCAGGGAATCTCACATTTCTCACACAGCAGCGGGGTACTTTGCTGACAAGGGATGGTGCCCACTCAGAAGCAGGTGCACAGCTTCCTAGCCCCACTTCCTTTGGTGGGTGCCACTCAGGAAGGCACACCACTGCCTCTGAGTGGGTGCCCACCAGAGGAGGCAGGACTAGGAATCTGGGGCACCCATGGAATAAGCTCTGCGGCTGAACCAACAAACTGTGGAATGGCGGTTCATGCCCATCTTCAGTTACCAGACATGTGGTCGCTTTTATTATATTCATAATATACAACCCCCCTGAAGACTTTCTCACTGGGATAGCTGGAAGACCACCGGGGCTGGAGCTGTTGAGGGCAGTCTTAAATAGTACTTTCAAGAAGCCATTTCAAATAAGGCCCTTGCTTTTGGCTGGACCACCAACAAGTCTGATTTATGAAAACTAATGGTACTTAGGTAAAATTAGATGAGACTTCTCAGTACACATTTGGAAGCTGATAATCCCTTTCCCCCCATAGTGAGATTTCTTTAGTGATACAAATCTAAGCAATCAGACTTGCAAATTAAGGCTGTACTTATTTCTAAGTGAATAATCACCAACACTCACTGGAATGTAAGATATGGAGCTAAGTGAGAGCACTTGCTATAACAAACACAGGTCTTTGAACACTTAAGGAAGCCTCTTTTCTAACAACATGCTCATTTTATTGTCTATTGACCTTTAATTTGTGAATCAGGCTTTGACTAAAAAGATCAAAGTGATTAGTAGGAGATTACAGCTGTACCAATGCAAGAACCTGGCACTAAGTAGGATGTATAGGTAATTGTATAGGAGAGTACTATGGGGCAGTATATAAGTCCAATAAATAAATAAATAAATAAATAAAATAATTTGTTCCTTGTCAATGCAAATGATTATATACAATCCTTTATTCCAATTTGCTGACAATATGTCTAAGTAGTAATACAATATATCACAGAAATCAAAGAAAAAGCTGTATATTCACCGTTTTACATTGTAGCCAAGTGTCATTTATTCAGTATTGTCACATGAAAAGATATACTAAAATATTTAGGAAATATGAGGGGGTGTACTCACTTCTGTGATATACTGTATATAAAGAACTTGTCTCTCAGTTGAAAACAATCTTGTGTTACACAGTCTATTTGAAACCATAAAATGATGGAGATCAGTGTTAGGTAAGCAGAGTGAATAGGTCAACATTGATGGTAATATTTTCTTGATATTTTTAAGCATACTGCTAGTTTGGGATTAATTATCTTTATTACATTTTATTGTTCTTGAACCTAAGGTGTTTGAGGCTTTGAGCACATATCCAAATATAGAAATGTATATAATAAATCATATCACTGACTCTTAGTTATGTTAAGTGAGCTTTCCTAGTTTGGCCTGGCAAATGATTGGTAGGCTGCATGGCTGTTTATCATGTTTGAATCTTTATAAGACTTTTGGTCTTGATCAAAGAAAAATCAAACACTATCTCGTGTATCTATCTATGTAAAGGAACTCTCCTCCAATCTCCAGTTACAGGACATGACTCCAGGGAACAAAAACTTAACTTGTCCCTTTCCACCACTGCTAACAGCTGTAGGAGTGTTTCTCTTTCAATGCAAGGAAAGTGAATAGGGCATTAGCTTGTTTAGATGATCAGTGTGAACCATAACCAAGACAAAATGATGCATGTTATAACTAAAGGCTCACTGTGTGGCTTAAACAGTAATATGTGCAAAAGCATTGAGACATAAGAGTGTTTGATTTTTTTAAAAAAATTACATTGATTACATCCATAAATGCTTTGTTTGCCCTATTGTGAAGTAACAAAGCAACAAGCTATCTCAACGAGTATATCTTTCAGTAAATTGAAGGAACCATTAGTGTCCTTTCAGTTCCTCCCATTACAAGCTGTTTTCAGGAAGCCCATTCCTCTCTTCAAGGAGATAGTATTTAATATGATTACCACAAGCTAAGAAAGGACCTTGTTTCTGTAAAAATAAAAAGTAGATGAAGATGGCCTGGCCAGAATTCTAGCATTGGCAAGTAGTGTTGTCTATATAAGTGAGTCATCAGTCTGCTGCATAAAGTTCTGTGGACATGTTTCCAAAATGCATTTAAGCGGGAAGTGATGTATGCTATCATTATTTACTCTAAAGTCCTTGAAAAGGTCTGTAGTGATTTACTGCTTAAGACCTTTTCATAACTGAAATTATTTATGTCTAGTTTATTAGACATATGCCTATTATTGAAGCAATTCTGACTGGCATGTTTCATCCCGCTACATATATTTCTTTTTGACTTGAAAGTCACAGAGTGAAAGCTATGATTTTCAGTGGGCAGAGAAGATGGACGGTTGAGGGTGGTGTATTCTTAGCAAGGAGACTCAGATTGCCATGAAGGGTATTTGGGAAAAGTTGCCATGAAAGAAAATATGGGGTGAAATATGGAGCATAAGCCTTGCTGCACTTTAGTCTATATACTTGTGTCTAGATGGGCGGGGTACAGTTAAATAAATGAATAAATAAAATATAAGTACAACAAAACAGAGCAATGAAACCTGTGACACTAGTCAGTTGTAAGGCAAATACAGAAACAGTGATCATGCATCCACAAACAGTGTTGGGATGGAGCATTCTATAGTCATGTGCACATGTGGGAACACATAAACATTCATACAATTAACTTTCCAGTTTAACCCTCAGTCACCTTTAGTAGTGAATTTACATCACACCGATGCAGCCAACACTTGTACAGCTTTCATCTGCAAAATTTTGTTGGAAAGGGCAATCTCCTTGAAGACAAATTGAACCTTAATGGAAGGTTTGGGGACTACATGTGAGAAACAAACAGGTAATTGTTGTGTTCAGTTTTATGATCTGAATGTCCTCAGAATGAGAAAAGGAGCGACCCTTCATTGGGTGCCATCTGTTGTGGTCAAGAGTGAACACTGGAGTACATTTACCCAAGTGAAAGATTAGGGGAGACACAAGAGTAATATCCAGTAAGCTGTACAAAATGGCTGTTTAGGCATTCATTAATTAAAATATGCAAAAGGATGGGGTGCATGTTTTCAAATAAAAAAATGTATATTATGGTTATTCAATATATATAACATTTTTACCTTTCTATAACCATAACCTCCAAATATGTACTTCCTGCACAAAGGTAAATCACTTTTGGGCGAAGACATTTACATTGACAAAGATTATGTGTACTATAAGGACTTTTTTAAAAATATATCCTTATAGTCTATAGTCTACAAGGAACAAAGTGAACATTCATGTCACATTTTATAGAGTACACATCTTTCTTACATGGTAATTATCTCCATGTAGGAAAAACAGCAAGTATAAATAATCCTTAGTATACTGTGTGTAAAGATGTTATAAATAAATGAAAGGTGGGAGTGGCAAAAATGAAAAATAGAGATGCATTGTAGATCAGTGTGAGGGACGGGGAGCTATGATGCTTTCTGAAGCTCAGCCTCCTGTTTGCATCCAGCCTAGCCAGCTTTGGGCCCCCTACAAACCAGTCAAAACGTTGCACTACCACTACATGTAGATGAATTTCTTGCCATTGAAACCATTAGATTAGAAAGAATCCAAGCCAAGAAAGGAGGAAAGCACTGAAATACAGCTCATCTCTCTTTTCTGTCCTGCCAGATCCAATTATGGCATTCTCTGAGATGAAGGATTAGAACTGCCGTGCCCACTGACAAGTGAAACTCAAATAATTAAAGAGTATCGATTAAAAATCCTGATAACTACCCTTCTTTTCTTACCTCGAATTCCATTGTGGAGTGAGGATGTAGTAATGTAGTAATGTATTGGTCTGATATGCTTTTACTATATTATCTTTTTTTGGTAGCACTAACTTTTTTCCTTATTATTTTCAGCTGAGCATTGCTGTGTGCATTGGATTTTTTGCTGCCTGGAGTCCATATGCTGTCATTGCCATGTGGGCAGCCTTTGGATCAATTGAAAGGATTCCCCCACTAGCCTTTGCTGTACCAGCAGTATTTGCTAAGTCTTCACCACTCTACAACCCAGTTATGTACCTAGTTCTAAAGCCCAATTTTCGAAGCATCATTGCCAAAGATTTTGCAATTCTCCAACAGTTATGCATCAAGACTTGCTTTTGTGTCAAATGTGCACAAACTTGCACTTTCAGGTCAACTCTGGAGGCCCACTTGAAACCTTTTAAAGGAAGAAATGAGTCCACCAGTAATTCTGTGCAAACAGTGGAAGGATGTTCTTATTTTCCTTGTGAAAGGTGCAACGATCCATTTGAATGCTTTAAGAACTATCCAAAATGCTGCCAGGAGAGGTTAAATGCTATGGAACATGTTCCTCAAGAAAGCATATCCTTGGAAAATAATATTCGGTCAAAAACAAAACATCATTCTGAAAAATGCATAAAAGTGGTTGTCCAGGGAGAAAAAAACACTGAAACGGATGGTTTGGAAGTAACATTAGAAAACCTACCTACACATGCTAGATAATGCCAACCTGTAGCATATGTTTGGTCAAATGCTCTGAGCAACAATTTAATTGCATCAGACTTAATGAATGTAAAACATTTCTAAACACTATCGTATTTTTATACAGTTATTTTTTTGTTTCCTTATTGCCCATGAGAGTAGCATGAATGCATTGAAAAGAATACATGTATTTTATTTCCACCAAGTATGTTACATTCCTAGGGAGATTCAGAACAAATTGTATTCTACAGTAATTTGTTTCTGACTTCTGAGAATTTCAGATCTTCTTAACCTCTTTGCACTCTTCATACCTATAAAAAATTGCCTGATGGATCCTTGTTACAAGTATTTTATATTGATTAGCAAGCTCAATCTACATTGGACTCCTGGAAGGTCTTTCAAATGATTGTGTGTTGCTTACGTAATTGATATTGGCTTCAGAAACCATGAGCTGTTATTTGTTATCCCTTCCACCTTTTAATTAGGCTGTGCTTATGCTCACATCCTTTGCATGTTTCCTTCCAAGACAGAAAGTCGGACAGACTCCTTTTTCTGATTCAATCCTGCACTGTTCTTGAGGGATTTCTGGGTAGTTTTGTTTAAGGATGTGCCAAGGTTTGCCTTTCAGAAGCAAGCTACTGCATGGAGGGACAGTTTTTTCATATATTTCTGAATTGCTGAGAAGCACTGCAGGAATATTTTTATGGCTTTGAGAAGACATTAACTTCCCCAACAAAGAAAAAGCAGTGGAGGCAACTGAGCCAGTTTCAATAATGTGATTATACTGGATGTTTAGTAAGTAAATAGTATTTATGTATAAATATCTCATATGGTTTGGAAAGATTGAAAGAAGAGGATTTCAAAATATTGAAACAAATATTTATAAATAAGCTTGACGATGTGAGGAAAATTGGACTGTCATGGTTTGACAGAATTACAGTGTGCAAAATTAAGATACTACCTAAGATAATTTTTCTCTATGATGCTACTCATAAAAAATAGTGAAGAAGAGGTGAAGGACCAGCAAAACATTATTAATAAATTTTGTAATGGAGATAAGAAGTCAAGGATTAATAAGAGGAAATGGTACAAATTTCAAAAAGTTGTAGGGTTAATGATTCCCAGTTTAAAGGCTATATCACATTGCCAATCAATTAAGACGTATGCCAGATATTATATCACAGCCCAACAAACTAATTTGGTTGATTAGGGAAACAAGAATTGCAATTGAATCCGATATTCTGTACATGTAAGATAATAAGAATTTAGTAAAAACAGAAAATCCCTTCCTTAAAAATATCCAATTCATCAAAAAACCCTCTTTTATTAATGTGGGATATTGTGTGTCTGTATCCATGATTTAAAAAAACAAAACAAAACAGAAAATAACTCAATGTTGTGCCTGTGTTGGCAGCAGTCAAATGGTCTGACTCTATAGGATACCCTCTTATGCTCACTATGATTCATACTTGTTGAAAAACAGCCCTGACAATTGCTTTATATTTGGGTGAGAAGTAGTTAATGGATGAAAGAAGGAGTAAGCTACTGTAATTTTCCCTTGTTTTGTGTCTCTTCATGAACTTTAAGTAGTGTGATGTGGCTTAAACAGGAATGGAAAATTAATGTGATTTTAGGTTGCATTGTGAAATCTCTGGTTTCTGAGCAATAAGGAACAGCTTCATTTTGTTCTACACATTTCAACTAAAGTGCTATGTCCAGTTCTGTGCACTGCACTGCAAGGAGAGAATATGAAAATTATTCAGATGTTTGAAGGCTATCGGACAATAGAAAACATCATAGACTTGGGTTCTGATAGGCTGGAGGGCAAGATTTATCTAATGTGTTTAAGTTACAGGAAAGGTGGCTTCAGTTTAATATTATCAAGCACAGCTGAGTGCTTCAAGCTTTGTACAGCTTCATATGAAGCTCATGGTGCTGAGTTCCATTTCCCTCCTCTCCCCAGGCCAGCTGGTCCACTTATCAGGCTCTGTATGCTGCTGGGGTCCTTCTTTGGAAGCGGCGCTCCAATCTAGGTAGGAGCCCAGTCAGTTTTTCCCTGCCTCCCCAGGCAGCCAACCACTCATCGGCTCTGTAGGGAGACTCCCCGTCCTGCCTAGAGATGGGGGTATTCATATACAAATGTGAATACCCCTGCACAGCTGGACTTAACAAAAGTCCAGCCCCTGGGGCTAAACTGTCCACTCACATGTCTGGTGGTGGCGGCGGCAGCCCTGGTCAGCCTTCTAATCACTTCCAGAGTGCTGCTCTCTTCCTGTCCACTCACATGTCTGGTGGTGGCGGCAGCAGCCCTGGTCAGCCTTCCAATCACTTCCAGAGTGCTGCTCTCTTTCCACTCATCTAGCCACTCGACAGCTGTGCAGGGAGATTTGTCTTCCCTCCCCGTGCCTGGAGTTGGCTAGATGAACAGAAACAGAGACATGCTCCGGGAGTGATTAGAAAGCTGACTGAGGCTGCCAGCACTGCCGGATGCATGAGTGGATGGTCCGGCCCCAAGGGCCAGACCCTCATTAAGTCCAGCTGCGTGGGGGTATTCGTATATGAATACAAATACCCCCATCTCTAGTCCTGCCTCTTCGCCAGAGTGGTTGACTGGGCTCCTGCCTGGATGGAGCACCACTGCTAAAGAAGGACCCCAGCAGCAGGCAGAGCCTGCTAAGTTGACCAGCTGGCCTGAGGAGAGGCAGATGGAACCCAACACCACCTGTGGTGCCACCCTTTGTGCTTCTTACCAAGCTGTATGAAGCATGAAGTGCCATCTCTGCTCAAAAAAGTTGTAAGTAACTGTAAGCAAGTTTAATTAGGAAAGGAAGACTCAAGTAGGTACTGTAAAATGCTAGGCAATGCCAGCCTGTAAGGTCTGAAGTAGACTTAAAAAGTGATTTTTTTTTAAAGGGAGTTAAAGCTGTAGTTGTGCTTACATGTCTCTTGGCATAAATTATTTTGGGACTTACCATTTTAATGTTTGTAACAAGTAAGATAGGACATTACAATTAAATCTCTATATGCTGGTTCATATATGGTTCCTGAAATTCTTGTCAAAATAAGGTCATTGCCTGTAGTTTGGAACCCATTTTTCTTGAACAGAACAGTTCAAGCAGCTGGACCCCATCTCTCTTTATTACTGCAGAACACCCTGTTTTAGCCCCACATTCTTCCTGAGGAATCCTCTGGATCAGTCTGGCGCATGTTATGGAAGGCTACATCTCAAAACCTGGAGGGTGGGAGACTGCGTGATTGGAAGTATACCCTCTTTAGCAAAACACCACTTTTAGATTCCTACCTTCTAGATGTTGTCATATTATAGCTATAAAGCACTGGTGAAAAGAAAAAAATCCTAATATTTATCCTTGAAAGTGGATTGTAAATAAGCCTTTCATCCCAATAGGCATCAAGCTGCTTGTGTGTCTCCACTTTGTCTCACTTTCATCCTAATAACTGTGTGGTGGTGGCAGCTGAGTAAATTACCTAAAATCAAATGCTCTCCTGCTGTTTTATTTCTCAAAGTACAGGAGACTGTGTTTGACTGGAGTAGCATTGCTAAGGGAGGAGCAGTTTAAAATGCTACTAAATTCTTGTCAAAATAAGGTCATTGCCTGAAGATACAGTCCAAGTATCTTCCTCTCCACAAAGTTGTATTAGCCTTGAATCAAATTAGGTTAGCAGGTTAGCAGCACCTTCAGGGTTGCTGAGTAGGAACATGCAAGTAAATCATTTCTGCATTGTGGAATTAAATCAGAAGCTGGTTTGGATTTTTGGAACTTGATTTAGCATCACATGGGCTTTGTGTTGGTGTGTGCACCTCATGGAACAACTTTTAATGTGGCTGCAAGCTGTGTGGTCTATTGGCACTTTGGTGTTCTGGGTGCCAGTTTTCTGGTTTTGCCTCTGTGCCAGGAACTTAATTCTTCACCTCAGCCATACCTTGTGCCTTTCCTGAGGCAGAGCTTACCTGCCTTGAGACTGCTGACACTGGACTCAGCTGCTTTTATTCTACAAAGCCAGCATCAGCCTCTACAACACAGCCCACAACTATTCTAACAGTTTGTCCTTTGTCTTTTAAGAATCATCACGTCTTGTCTAAATCGTGTTTTCAAATATTTATTTTATATTAAAATGTTGTTAAACAGAAAAGACATATACAAAAACAACCTTTTACAAAACACGACTATATATGTCCACTTATAATGTAACACAATGTCTTCACTTGGTGTTACCTGCCCACCCCCATTTGAGACTAGTTCCATGGTCTTCATTCTTATATTTCAGATCACCCCTTTTCTCTCCAGTAATATGCTGATTCTTCTCCTGGTGTATACCGCTTCTTTTTCTGAAACACATGTACCAAAAACAAGTTCCATGTTTGTTTAAAAACATTCTGTTTCATAATTCCTCTTCTAATCTTAATTTCATAAGTTTATTATTAATTGCCATTCCTCCCTACTAATTTATTATTTTTCCAATTTTTTGCAATTATTAATCTTGCCACCATCACCATTACAACAATTTTCTTCTCTCTTCAATTGATTATTATCAACCAAATTCAACAAAGCAATCATTGGTGACATTTATACATTCACATCAGTTATTTCTCAAATCTTCATGAAAATCATTGTCCATTCCTTCTTCCTTATTTCACAAAGCCACCACATATGTATACATGTCCGTTTTTCTTCTTTACATCTCCAGTATAGT